AATAATAATTTTAAAATTTATTGCTGTCAAGCTATAATTTACTCTCCTAGCTGACTCTCCATTAGGTTTCTGAGGCAGTAAGTCACATAAGAGGAGATGGTCCATCCTGTTCCTGCAAATCTGACAGTGGATTCTAACGTGACATCATTATATTATTTCCAACTCAAGCAGTTTTACCCATCTAAATTTTTCCAATGCGATACTGCCAAAATAATTAATTATTCTATTGTTCCACACCTAAGAATACAGCATTGTGATGCCTTATGGATTTTTTAAAGGCAGTAATAAAGTAGGTGTTTAAAGGCATGAATAATTAAAGTAAAAATAGAAATAATAAACATCCATAACTTTCACTGGAAAGCATGATCACTTTATTCCTGAAGATTGAAAATTAGCTTTCCAGAGAAAATTTTAAAAGAAGAAAAAAAGTTTAACGTGTATTGTTATAGCTAGAATGAACAGGAGAAGAAATGTAATTTCTGTTCTACTCAACATCACAAACCATTTAGAGTCTTAGGCTACATATAACGTATTCGCCAAAAGCCACAATTCAACCCAAAATTATTTTGTTTGTACACACATCAATCCTGGATAAGAAGGTAACAGGAGTAACTGAAACACACATATACAGCTTTACAAAAAATATTAATCAGCACAAAGAGTCACTTTGTCTCCAAGTATCTCCAGTTCTTTCTTCTATAACCTCATGAATTAAAAAGTAGTTTAGTAGCTTATTTTTATTATTTAATTTAAATATAGCCTATTTTTCATTTGGTGAAAACAAAGAAACTTTGTTTCAGAGGTTATATTCTTTCCAAAATGGAAAGACCGCTATAAGTAGTATTCTACTGAAAATAATGACAAATCGTAGACTCGTAATTTAAGTAAGAAACTTTCCTAGGCTTTAAGCATTTATTTGATTCAATCTTTCTTTTAAATATAAAACCAGCACACATCTAGATTTGTTAAAGTTTTAACTCATATTCACATAAAATTCATTTGGGAAAAAAGAAAGGATTTTGATTAACATTGTGATTATAGCACCAAAAGTTCTATATAAAAAGCCTTCAAAAGGCCACAACTTTTAAAATATTATGGAGCAGTTCTTCTCTACATGTAGAACTGAAATGAGATGGATCAACTACACGGCAACTAACAATAATGATCCATTTGAAATTAAACTGAGATATGAATAAAATATCTAATGCAATAATTCTTCAACCCCTTTAAAAGACAATTTGATTTGCTTTGTAGTCAATAAATAAGCTCTTGGGCCTTTACTGAAAATTTAGGAATCAATGGCTAATATGCCCATTATGTTTCTTTACCAGTTTTTCTCTTATTGAGGCAATGTTATCTCAGACCTTTCCTATTCCAATTTGACCATTTTCCAGCAATGACACAATGTCAAGTCCCATGGATGACAGAGTTATGTACATAGTCCAAGAGGAGGGAGAGCTCCATTAAGGAGTTTTGATATTATTTCCTTTTATTTCTCCTTGGTTTCTGATATTATGGGATTCAAGAGAGCACTACTACCTGGGACACCTTACAACCCTGCCAGGTTACATGTAGTGTTTTAAAAAGAGAGAGAGATTTAATTCTTATCTAAAATATTCTCACATTCTATACTCCCATGGGTTACAAATTATAAATTATTTGTAAACAAGATCCATAAAAGAATGTGTCAAGAGCCAAAGAGTGTACATCAAACTTCTGCCTTCTGAAAGCATCCAAAAGGACATTTAAGTACATATCTATTTATTAAAATCAAACCTTGTCTTTTTGGCAACCATTCTTGGAAAGGTTTGAATTGGAATTATGTAGCATATGTGACATCTTATTCCTTAACTTGAAGTAAAATGATAAAGAAAGAGAAAAATGTACTCAGAAAATACTGTATCTAGTATATAACAATTTTTTCAGTTATTGACTTCTTTAGGAGCTTTTGTAGATAAGGTATAAAATTTTGAAAATATTTCTAAGTTTCTAGACACCCAGTGCAAATAATATTTTCATAAACACCAATACAAAGTCAATAAATCTCCTTTGCCTTATGGATACAGTCTTGTTACATACATTGAATGCAACTCTGACTCTCATTGTCAACTAATTTACACTCCTGGTGTACTTTGTAGCAAATAATTAAGCAAGAACAAGCTCCTATGGTCATAGAGTTCATTATTTTAAAATATTTTTGTGCATACTTCCTCAAGAAGAGAATTTATTAATAAACATGTCACATTTTATGATATCCAAGGAGTTAAGAATTAATATACACACAACTTGAAGAGCTAGAAAAGTTTAGACTTAAAAGTAGGCATTTTTCAAAAACAAAACACTTTGGTCTTGAGGGCAGCAAACAGTAAGAGGACAGAAAAAAATATATGCCAATGAGATTCAAGATCTGTTCTTCAAAATATCTATGTAGAAAAATAATCCTCAGAATATTCAGTCACCTTCAGATTGCTGTACTTCTCATTTGTTCATTCATTCTGCTAGTAGAGATGATAGCTTAAACATTGCTAGAAAATTAAGAACACAAATTGTGGCCTTTTCCTTTAAAGATTTTTTTAAAATATTTTAAAAGTTGTGGTCTTTCTCCTTAAGGATTTCAAATTATTTTATATACTTATTATTATTAATCATAATGAAAATTTACAGAAATTTTGGATTTCCATTCATTCATTGTTGCACTTTTCTCCCTGCCCACCCCTCTCCTCCAGTTGGTTCTTCTCTTTGAAAAGTAAAGGTTCTTTCATTGTTATACAATCCCTCCTCCCACTCCACTCTACTATGCAGCCTTTGTTCTGGACTCATGTCATGACAATAATACCTAATCATATACCTTTTAAACAGTTCTCTCTCTCATCTGTTTCAATGCAGTATACATAATTTATCCCATCTTTCTTAGTCTCCATTCAACCCCTACATCAGTCCCATTTTACAACAGTGGCACTATGCAGTTTTTGTCCTTTTGTTACAGATGTATTTCAGTCCACATAATGTCCTCCAGGGTCATCCATTTTTAATAATATTTCATGAGTTCCTTGTTTTTTAATGTAGTGTAGTATCCTATTGTGTGAACATGCCAGAGCTTCTCTATCCATTCTTGGGCACTTGGGTTGTTTCCAGATCTTGCTATTGTGAACAAAGCCATGATAAACATGGGTGTGCATGTATCTGCTTGGGTGGCAATTATGGTCTCTTTAGAGTATATTCTCAGTAGTGGAATTAGTGAGTCAAATGATATTTCTATTTGCAGCTTTTTGAGAAAGTGCTATACTGCCTTCCATAGTGGCTTCACCATTTTACACTCCCACCAACAGTGAATAAGGGTTACAGTTTCTCCATCATTTTTATAATATCCAAAAGTTGAAAATAACCTACAATCTGACTAAGTATTGTACATATATAACATTGTCCTGTAATCATTTAAAAATATCATTTAAATCAGTATTTATTGGCATAAAAAGTGGCCATAGTATATTGTTGAGCAAAACCACAGTATATATAATCTCAATTGGTCATTTAAAAAGAACACGAAACTTGTATATACACACATGATAGTTTCTTAAAGAGAAGTACAACTTAACAAAAATTGTAATAGTGGAAAACGAGAGAAGGTAGTTTCACAGTCTAACTCTTCTGAGTTAGTGTTATTTAGAAATTGTATACTTGATATGTATAATCTGTCTAAAATAATGACCCTATTTCCACATTATACTGTGTCCTTTACGACATTCCTAAGAAGTCACATAACCCTAGGTAATGTAATACTTGCCTTGCATCAAAGACTTACTAATGTTAATAATAGATTTTTTTTAAAAAAACCCCTTCAGGTTTACAGGGCAAATTCAAACAGGTATCTTAATGTAAAATGAAAAAAACCATAAAAAATTTCACAAAAGCATGAACTACTCTACTAAAATTAGGTAACAGATCAAAGGTAAACAGCAAATAAAAATACTGCCACCTCCCCTTATAATGAGACTTTAAAGCTTTCAACTAACTTTTTTTTAATCCTGGCTGAAGCGTTGCCTCTATATCACACCCATTTTTAAAGCAAGAAGGTCCAAGCATTCAATGAGTGGTTAGATTAGGCAACCTTCCAGTTCTGACAATCAAGGAATAATTCTTAGATATTTTTTAAAGTACTGAAGCAGTTACAAAAGCACCTGCAACAAAAAATGTTTTCCACTTTATAGTATCACATGCTTAAAACACAAGGCAGACAGTAGTTTTTTAAATTTATTAATTTATTGATTTAATAAAGTTCTAAATTATTATTTATTATTATTATTAGCCAATAAGTTGAAAGTACTGGCTTCAGATAACTTTTTTCCCCTCAACTTTTAAAAAGATATCAACGCTTGGCCGTAAGTAAAATTGAGAGATATTAAAAGCATTCTATATGTATATTAATTAGCATGGGTTTTCCTACAGATGCAATTTTCCATTAAAGTTTCTTTTCCACTCAAAGATGCACCATTTTTAAAAAACACAAAATATTTTTACTATTATTATAACTGTGCATTTAGTTTATTAGGCTAAAGGCGTGTTTCTTAAACTCCCTAATTCTTAAATTTCTTTTCTACTTAATTATACTAAATCATGCAAAATTTTAATATAATGAAATGTAGAATACACTTCAACAGTATTAACTGATACTAAGTTAAGGCTCAATTTAAAATGCAATTACTAACAATTAAAACTATTACAATAGTTAATAGAGAACACATTCATTCACTCAGTATTCACTCAGTATTCACTCAGTATTCACTCACTCACTGCCACAAGTCAATTCTAACTCATGGTAATCTTC